GTCATTAGTGTTTGTGTATTTAAATAACGCGCCTCTCATGCCGCGCATGCTCCCATCCGTCATGTCAATAAAACAACACACTCATGTCATAGAGCTGGCATGACCAGTATCTTTCGTCGTGTTCTCAATCTGGATAGAGCTAGTACAAACATGGTGTCAGAAGTTTGAGTATACATCAGGGATCGTCTAACGAACAAGCGTCCGAAGAAGCAAGAAAATGTCGTTATTAAACTCCATCCCAGTTCCGCGGCCGATGCCGCTGAATCCAGTCAACCGGAAAGCGCGGTGGCTGGAATTCAAAGAAGAATTCGAAGACTATGCAACATTCACGAACCTAAGCAAGGAGCCTGAGACGCATCAAATGAGTGCTTTTCGGCTATACATGGGTCCTCACTGGAGAGGCAAGTTGAAAGCATTGAAACTTGATCCAGCAACACTCAGCCAAGCAACGACTGCCGGCATGGCATGCAACAAGCTGGTCGCTACCATCAAAGCCCTTGACAAGGAATTCGGTGCATCGAACAATATACTGAGCTGCCGGGAAAAATTCTACAAGTTATGTCAAGGTAATCTGGACATCGACTCATTCATTGACAAAGTTCACGAGCTAGCAGTCTTATGCGAGTTTCCGGACGTCGTTCGTGATGAAATGATTCGAGACCGAGTGGCGCTTGGCTGTTCGAGCAGCAACATGAAAGAAAGACTGCTCACCGCAGACAAGATCGATTTGAATGCGGTCCTGACGATGGCACGTCGATTGGGAGACATCAGATCTCGGAGCAGGGAAGACGAGACCAAAGACCAAGAAAACATATACGGTGTCACCAAACAGCCCCACCGCTCCACGTTCTCGAAGCCCGAAAAAATTTCATGCAGTTTCTGTGGAATTTCTCATGAGCGAGATCGGAAAAAATGCCCGGCGTCCGGCAAGCAGTGTTCAAATTGTCAACGCAAGGGTCATTTCGCCAAGATGTGTCGCAAACCACGGAACGGAAGTAGAGTTCACTATGTGGATGTATCAGATTCAGAGGAGCCTAGGGTCGAAGAAAACGAGGAAAATTATCAACTCGAGGCATCATTCGCCGTCGACGCTGTACAACCCAAGAAAGCTCCCGGAAAACGCTTGCTTATCACGTTGGACTGCGTTAATCAGGAAAAAACCCATCCATTGACGGTCCAAATCGATACGGGGGCGTCCTGTAATGTATTGCCTCTGTCCGCCTACAAAAAATTACTACATCAGCGAATGGTCGGCTCACTCAAAACAACCAACGTACACCTTAAAATGTACAATGGAAACGTCACCAAATCTAAAGGTCGATGCGAGATCATCTGTCGGAAGAACCGGAACGAAGTGAAGCTGAATTTTGAGGTGGCAGATGTCTCTGAGTATCCACTCCTATCAGCGAGAGCGTCGATGACCCTGGGTTATATCACAATAAGCAGGGACGTCGAAATCGTCAATCAAACCAGAGCAATTGAAAGCGATCCAGGGACACACAGAGAAAAACTTCGACGGCTGGTTAAGAAGCACAAAAATGTATTCGAAGGCCTGGGAAAACTTCCCGGTAAAGTGAGCATACACCTCAAGGAAGACCACTCTCCCGTTCAGTGTCCTCCGCGTAAGGTTCCCATCGCTCTAAAGGACTCAATAGTTCAGAGAATTTTAGAGTTGGAGAAACACGGAGTGCTGAAAAGAGTGAAATACGATGAGCCATCGAAGTGGATCAGTCAAATGCTCGTCGTCTTGAGAGAAGGGAAGAAGCCAAGAATCACACTCGACCCGTTCCACCTGAACAAGGCAGTCAGGCGATGTCATTTCAGAATGCCGACCTTGCCGGACATCCTACCGCAGCTGAACAAAGCCAGATTCTTTACCGTATGCGACGCTGCCGACGGTTTCTACCAATGTGAACTAGACGAGAAGTCCACTGACGTCACATGTTTCTGGACTCCAATCGGACGTTTCAAATACCTACGAATGCCGCAGGGTCTCAGCATATCTCCAGAGATATACCAGGCAAAACAGATGGAGGCTTTGGATGGTCTTCGTGGCGTTTTCTGTGTAGCCGATAATCTACTGGTTTGCGGATTCGGAGACGCAGACGAGGAGGCCATGGAGGACCATCACAACAACCTCCGAGCCCTCCTGGAGCGTTGCGAGAAGATCAACATGAAATTGAATAGATCGAAACTCAAATTGTGCCAGAGAGAGGTGAAATTCCTTGGTCACATAATCACCAGTGAGGGAGTGAAGAGCGATCCAGCCAAGACCGAAGTGATTCGAGAAATGAAGCCTCCTACGGACAGGACATCACTACAACGTTTCCTCGGAGCGATCAATTACCATTCAAGGTTCATGGAGAATTTCTCAAGCATATCACAACCCCTGCGAAATTTGCTCAAGAAGACGGTGGAATTTGTCTGGGAGGAACCTCAACAGAGAGCATTCGAGCGACTTAAGAAACTTCTGTGCAGTGACAGAAGTCTAACCTACTTCGATGCCACGAAACCTGTCGTGATACGTTCCGACGCAAGCCAATTCGCCGTGGGAGCAGTGATGTTACAAGGCGATAAACCGGTGGACTTTTGTAGCGCCGCCCTCCGACCCGCAGAACTCAACTACGCAGTGATCGAGAAAGAGTTATTGGCGATAGTCATAGCCTGCCAAAAATTCGAACAGTATCTGATTCACCACCAAGACATCACGATACAAACGGATCACCAACCGCTTATACCTATCTTCAAGAGGCCCTTGTACGACGCCCCGAAAAGATTGCAACGAATGCTGCTGAAGCTTCAGAAATTCCACCTCAAGGTGGAACACATAAGCGGTAAATTAAATTGCGTGGCTGATTGGCTCAGCCGGGATCTGTCGATCAAGCCGAGAAGCGGACCAAAAACTGACGTTCAGGAGCAGGTTTTCCGCATAGAGACAGAGAACATTGCAACAGAAAAACTCACAACAGTGAAGGATCTCAACCTCCAAATGCTCGCAACGGCAACTAAGAACGACGCCGAAGCCCAGCTGATGATCAAAACCATCAAGTCTGGCTGGCCCAAGACCAGGGGGTCATGCCCGAGTATCCTCAAACCACATTGGAAATTTCGATCCGAACTGACTCATCACAAGGATCTGATATACAAGGGATCGGCTGTTTACGTTCCAAAAGCGAAGAGACATCACATGCTGAAAATTGCGCACGCGAGCCACTACGGTTTCCGTTTGTTGTGGAAGCGAGCCCGCGAGAATATCTTTTGGCCGTCTTTGAAAACCGACCTCGAAGAATACTGCCACAGCTGTGAAGCTTGTCTGACTTTCCAAACGAGGCAACAGAGAGAGCCAATGGTACAAACAACGTCAGCGACATACCCCTTTCAAGTGGTTTACCAGGATCTGTTCCAGCATAACGGGAAACACTATCTGATCACAGCCGATGTATTCTCCGATTTTTTCGAGGTTGATCAAGTCGGAGGAACAACGGCCAAAACCATCATCGAAGTAACGAAACGTCACTTTTCCAGATACGGAATTCTCGTCGAATTACACAGTGACAATGGGCCACAATTCGCATCAGAAGAGTTCAAGAGATTCCTAGAAGACTGGGGAGTGAATTACGTGACTAGCTCACCCTACTTCTCACAAAGCAACGGCAAAGCCGAAGCGGCAGTGAAAATTGCCAAAAAGCTTCTGAAGAAATGCGAAGTATCACAGGAAGACTATCAATACGGACTGCTGGAGATACGGAATGTACCCCAACAGGAAGGTTTCAGTCGAGCTCAAAGTTTTTCGGACGAAAGATACGTACTAGATTACCAATGCTGTCAGAAAAAGCAAACATTCATCCCAAACAAATCATAGAATCCAACACCGAAAAATTCGCCCGTCGCAAGAAACAGTACGACAAAGCAAGCCACCCGCTCCCGCCGCTCCAAAAGGGCGACCTAGTCAGAGTCCAACCTATAGACCAGGGAGCGAAGTGGAGACCTGCTGTCTGCGAGAGCCAGGTTGGCCCTCGTTCTTATAATGTAAAAGTGGACGGTGGAAACATCATACGTCGAAATCGTCGACATCTCAAACTCACTAGAGCACCCCCCATACGCGACAGCATCGCCAAAACAGTTGGCATCGACTCGAATACTCACACTGAAGCAAGGAAAAGGAAGGTGATGGAGCAAGCTACAGTATCATCATCCGAGCCAAAGAAGAGAAGAGGAGATACTCCAAATCAAATACTTCGACGAAGCGAAAGAATCCAACAGAAAGCGCAACAGCAGACAACTACCTAATTGTGTCGAATCGATTCTATCTGGAGGGGCTCATATAATCGTAAATGATGTGATTCTTACCAAGTACTCTTAACCAATCTAAAGAAGAAAAATACTAATAACAAGGGAGATGTTTGTGTATTTAAATAACGCGCCTCTCATGCCGCGCATGCTCCCATCCGTCATGTCAATAAAACAACACACTCATGTCATAGAGCTGGCATGACCAGTATCTTTCGTCGTGTTCTCAATCTGGATAGAGCTAGTACAAACAAATATCATCTCTCTTCTTAGCGCGAGAGGCAGATCATCGAGCAGGTCCATCAATTCGTTCTGGATGAAGTTCCGATAACCCTCGCCATTCAGGGTTCCCTCGTAGATGTGAGGTCCTATGATTCGTGATCCGATGATGCCGCACCACACGTTCAGACTGAACCTGTACTGAGAATTCGTCTCTCGGAAGTTTGGCAGTTTCGTCTCGGACCAATAATGAGTATTTTTGCGGTTGAAGAATCCCCGACTGTTAAAATTGCATTCATCGCTCCACAAAATTTTTTCGCAGATGCGAGGATCTCTTTCATGTTGTCCTATGAACCATGTACAGAAATTCCTTCTTCTTTCTAGATCAGCGATTTGTAGATGGTGGGTTTTCGATATCTTGAAGGGCTTCAAATTATGCTTCCGCATGATATCGAGCACAGTGGAATGATCCGTAGCACAAATCGATGCCATTTCCCTCGAAGATGCTTGGGGGTGAATTCCTACGAAAGCCAGGACATCCGTCTCAAGTTCCTCTGACGGGAATGATTTCGGCACGCCGTAGAGTCTGCCGAAGTTCCGAAGGTTCTTCTCCAAGCGTGAGAAGAGGGTCCTGGATGGGACCTGTCGGTCTGGGAAACGGAGTCGATACGCCCCCACGGCAAGTTCTGCGTTCTTCCCACAAGCAACGTAAACTTCGAACATGTCGGTTCTTTCGTCGAACGAGTATTCCATGGCGCTGTCCTGTCGACACTTTTTACCCACGATTCTCGCCTCATCGACCACAGTAGAACTCTGTGGATCGCTCTCGGTCTGCGCTCTTCGCAGAAGGCTCTGACGAGGTGAATTCGAGGTTCGGCATATCGCTTGACATTTGACTGCTACATCACATCGAATACGACATTGAGAATGGCCTCATCCCAGTTCGAACATCTCTTGTGAAATAAGCTTATTTGGGACCGATTATAACCTGCTTCGTAATAAAATAATGGCTCCTCCTGACTGGAGCAAAAGATAATAAAATTTGTGACAGTCCGACTTATGAATTCTTCAAGGGCCGATATCTCAGAAACTATTGGTTTTAGAAGAATGAGCACCATGACCTTTCTTGCTCAGAATGACGAGATCTACCGATTCATCTAATTTCCAGATGGGGTTTCCATAGGAAATAAGCGAGATTGGAGTCGTATCTCGAAGACCGGCACTCCGAGAGAAGGAGAGACATCATTTCCGGATGCATCACCAAAATTCAGCGAGGGTCACCCATCGTACTTTTTTCTCTAGACCTCACCGTTTCCGAGAAAAATGTCTTTCAAAAAATCGGGACCACCCTGTATATAAAGAAAAAAGAGAAAAGTCAGGTGTCAAAAATGACGAACCTATCAGCCCCTGCGACCGGACGAGAGCCGTGAAGAGGGCGACCGCAAGGGCCGCCTCTCCGACTTTTGCCACCTGCCCCAGCATGTATCCGTGGGGACCGGGGGCGGGGGAACTCGTGCCGGAAACCCGTCCTCACGGACGGATCGCTTCATTCCTCGAGAGCTATCTCGACTGGCATTCTTCTCCTCGAGTGTCTGATTGAGGTCCGACGCCTGCGTGTCCTCACTTCTTTTGCCGGAGTGCGTCGCCAGGTAGGATCCTCGTCAGAGCTAAGCTCCACGTATGATCGCCCACAGCTGCAGGGACGTCTTACTCAGCTCCTTCGACTGCGGGCCCTCTGCCTTCGTCGTCTGACCTCTCCGAGATAATCGGTTCTGCTTCTGGAGATACCTGACATCAGTTGTGTTTTAGATCCAATCGAAGACTGGATAACGAAACCATGGACACCCCCTTCTATACGAAAATCTCTCGGAGAAAATTTTTCCAATCTCTGAATTATACTGTGTTAGATCAAATAATGCACCAAGAAGAGCCCAGAAATAGCCAAGAAAAACGTCACAACGATAAAAGTTTCCTACTCCGCGCGAAACCACACACGAAATCCCTCGGTGGGATGAAGGGATGAAGTTCTTCAAAAGAGTCATTGTTACGAAAGGCGTCTCGAGGGAGAGACCCTTTCGAAATTTGAATAAAGTCCGCGGATCTCCCTTGCACCTTTTCCCCTCGCTGCGTATCCTCGCCCCCGCACTCTACCGCGAGCGGAGGAGACATCGGCGAGAACACACACCTTCACCTGCAGCCGCTAGCGGATCGATCGCGATCCGGCGCGTTGAGCAGTGAGGGAGATCCAGCGTTTTTCCTCAGAAATCGTGGTTTCTCTTGTGTCAAATCGTCGTCAATACGGATCGACCGCAATCCGTGATATTGGTGTCTGAAATTCTTGAAGAACTCGCGTTCGCGCGGCGCATCCTCTTCAGCCATCCATGGCAATCACCGACCGCGGTGACTCGCTCGGATTCTCTTCGCTCCTGATGTAGCTCCACGAGTCTGGAGTGGTCAACGATTGAATCTCCCGGACTCTGTTGGAAACGAATTGCGTCCACCGACTCGGAGTGTCACGAATCCAGCCGAGGACACTGCTGCTATCCGAATACATGAACACGGAGTCGATTTCGGTATCCAGATACTTCCGAATTTTGTTCGAAATCTAATTTCATTTCGTGCGTGAGGCAACTGAGAATCATAGGGCTTAGAGAAGACAGACGCTCCAAACTTTCCCCGAGAGCCTAAAGAACGGACATTCTGCGCCAGGTTCAGAGCAAAGCCAATGAACCTACCGGGTTTTGAGAGATCCTTGGTTCCACAAACACTGTGAATGTTCTGCAGCAAGGCTGCCTTCGCCACATCCGGGTCTCCGAAAGCCTCGCTGATCGTGAACTTCATAATCTCGTAAGATTCGGCTGCGATCCGTAGGTGAGCCACTGTCTTCAACGCTGACCCACTGAGGGAGCCCTTAAGAATTCGACACTTCTCCACAACCTCGATGGGCTTCGAATCCACGAAGTATGAAAACAGCGACCACCACTCGTCGAACTTAATCGGATCACCGTTGAATCGCGGAATTTTCTTCGCTGGGTCTTTCACGACATAGCGATTTTGAGGGTCCGAAACACTACTCCGTTGTTGATACTCCTCGTTGTGTATGCCTGACGTAGGATCAGCTGATCCCGCGAACGCGGTCTCGTCTGTCGGTGTCTGCATTGTTATGATCGGTGATCAGCAGCAGACGATGTCTACACCGGCTGCTCCATCGACGATCGAGATGGTCGGAGCGGTTGATGGAAGAGTGTCCCGGAGCCGCACAGTAGATTCCCTCCAGCATGACGATCCTGTTGGAAAATTACCATCGATAGATGATTGCCTTTCCATAAATTACTGTCCAGAATTTTCTCGAAGTCAGTGTTTACGATAATTACACCAAGTTAATTTCCAATATCCTGAATGTTTGTGTTTACTGTCACAACACAGTCTGATCTATGTGCCCATTGAATTTTATGGAACCAGTCTTCCCTAGGCAAGTCTATGGAGCTGTGCTAGTAAATAAACCATACTGAAATGAACATCAGACACAGATTCTTCTGTCACACGCAAACCCTGCGTCCTCATTCCTGAGAGCATCTTCGCTGCGAGACCTCGCCCCTCGGAGATCATCTGAACCCTGTGCCGAATCAACTCTAGACTCTCGGACCGTGGACTCCTGCTGACTGAGCGCCTTCTCAGTGAGCCAACGCTCAGGATCCTCACGGGTTCCCAACAGATCCTAGCTTGCAGGGCGCGACAATGGGACTTAGAGTCCCGCGAGTGTCTGTACTGTATGTCGAACTCCTCCGTGAGCTTGACATCGTCGGCGCCGAGCTCCGGATCGCGGGAGAAGGAATCGAACGCCGACTCGAGTTCCACGAGCTTCCTCTCTATGCTGAAGCTGGGATCCGCTGCGATTCTTATCGAGTCCGCGGAGTGACCGTCCGCTCGGGTCTCCACGGCAGCGGGGGCATTGAGGTCGTCCAACTCTAGACGTAGGACTCTGACCCTATTCTGCTTCCATAGTCGAGACGGGGCGTTCTCCGGCATCGGATTTACCTGATCTGCGATTGCCTCATCGCCCTGAGCGATTCCGCCGAGTCGTAGTGCCATTATTCCAGAGACGTGAAAAGCTTCTGGTGGGGACGAAACCTCGGTTGAGAGCGTAGGCCGGGAAATATGCTGGCGCTGCGAACCCTTCGAGTCACGCCGCCGCTGGTGACGTCACTAACACTTGAGATTTCATTTGGCACTGACTTCGAGGGTTGAGTCGAAGAAAGTTATTGTCCTCGCCGATTTCGCGCTATTCGGATCGATGGTGGGTGGAGACCGGAGCGCTCGGCACTCTGACTGGGCTTGACGGTTTGCACTGCGCCACAAGGACGCGCGGCGGGAGTCGCGGGTACGAAAAAAGAGAAAAATTCGCAACGCCGAATCCCTCACGCTAATTTCTCCAAGGATGGTTGGTTGAGGACCCCCGCCGGCAGTTGTAGAGCTATTTGCTGGCCGATTTTCCCACGCTCTTGCTTCGAAAGGGAGTTGCCACGTGGGTAGTCGGGGATATCGGCACGATAGGTCGAGACACAGAAAATCGTCGAGCGCAGATTTCCGATATTTTCCTCTGGAGCAGCTAGTCGGTGCTGGCGTCGAGAGGCTGCTGAAGATTCGGCAACCGATTTTTCCTCGAACTTCGGAGAAATAAGGGAAGTTGAGGCAGGCCTCTTGAAAACCGCCGTGCCGGATCGACTCGGCGACTCAGGCTTTGAGTCCGAACTCCGAGTCCGAATCGGTGAGATGTAACCGAGGGCTGTTGTCGAGGAACGATGACTAGGATGGCACTGTACTTGCCGACCGACTACGCCCGGAGTACGTGATGAAAGTTGTGCACGAGCCGGGACCGCGAGGTCGTGGTGAACGGCTTCGGTGCTCTCTGTCAGGAAAACCGCTAATGGGCACGCAGGTTCAACAGTTTTCTGGCACCATGACAAGAATCCCGCCAGTATCGCAGGGACGGGGAAGGAAGAAAAACACAATGATTGATCGGGACTGGTTCTCACGAAAAACGTCTTCCGTGGAAGGAGCGCGCGCTGCGATCGATTTCGAGAGTGTTGAGCTCTACCGACTTGTCTCGATTGCCCCAGATGCCGCTTGGCAGCGCCGTTGAAGCTGAAAGAGAGCAAGCCCAGAGGAGCTCTCTCGCCGGGTGCGTGGGAGCGCGAGCGGCCTTCGCCGGAGACGTCTGAGAGAACTCTTTTTATTGACGAAATCCACGGATCTACTCTTGGTCTGAGAAGTCGATCCGTGACAGAGCGGTCGACAGGGAAATTCAGAAATACATCCACCATGTTTCCTCTAATAGTGGGGCATGCCCGATAATTGTTCAGAGCCCCCAGATGGGTGCCCGTCAAATGGAAGTGCCCGGTAATTGGAGCATGCCCGTTTGGATTGGATGACCTTATAAGAGACTCAAGGAAAAACGAAGTACAAAAAACACAAACTAATGCTTGCCTGTTTCGTATATAACAAAGGTACCTCACTATTTCTTCGCTTACGCATCATCTAACAGCTCATCATCTGTGAGCTCGTCCATGTCCGTCTCGTTCGACACCCCGCTTAGGTGGCATTCGTTTCCCGAATCATGACTTTTTCGAGCTTCAGCGAGCTTCTGGCGACCGGCAGGTATTTGTCCATGGGGTTTGAAACAGTGGATCTGGTCATCCTCCGACCCGTCGGAGGCGACAGTGATGCCGCACTGTTTGAATGACCTGACAATCAAGTCCTCGGGAAACTCCCGCCGCGAATCCGCAATCCATGACCAGTAGATTTCCATTGGGGGAGCAGCCACATTTCCGCCACGGGTCAAACGTTTCTCGCCGTGCGCCATCCATTCCTCGTAGCGACGGCAGATCCCGGCTTTGAACGGGGCGTTCCAGGAAACGCCTGGAGGTTGTACAAAGTTTGTTCGGATGGTGCCCGTCTAATAGAGGTTTGGGAGAGTGCCCGGTAATTAGAGCATGCCCGTCTGGAATAAGACCTGTCGAACCATGCCTGGCAAATAGAGTATGCTCGAGAATGAGAGCATGCCCCACTATTAGAGGAAATACGGTATCTAGGTTTCGCGGAATCGGCAAAACCGAGGGCGGAGGACAAACAAGCTCATTATCTCCCGATCCTGGCGGTGGCGAAGGAATCCCTTTCGGATACTCAAGAGCGGAAAGTAAGAATCGTCAAGGATTGCGGCTGTCGTTCTGATGACGAAGCAGCACTAAACGACGTACTACAAAAAAGGTCAAATCTGTTGCCCGACATTCTCTCCGTCTTCAACAACTGTCGAAGGTCAAGATTCGTAGCTCCGGTCAGGAGTAGAAGAGCAGCCCGTTCAGGAATACACAGAGATGCGATCTCACGAGAGGGAGATACCACAGTGAATTTTATTCGAAATCTTAGGTCTTTTATACCTAGGCAGGAGTCTAAGCTCCTCCTTACATGTCCTGATCCGTACATACATATACATAGGATAAGGCTACCCTGGTCTATCATAAGTAGCGTCCTAGAATGCTATTGGGTGTACCTAGCATGTGGGGTGCTAGCCCAATTTCGTACTACCTCAAGGGTATCATGCTAGAGTCGTAACTTCGGGGTATAACCCCGGTGACTCACGTATTTACTACTACTGTCACGGTTATATGGCCCCGTGGGTTGGTATGAGTCATAGTCCTGGTACGGAACGAGGACTAGTAGTTTCCAGTTTCTACCTAAACCTCAACACCTCCCCTAACTGCTAAGTCCGAGTGTCTTCAGGATGAGGGAGCAGTCAGGCTCCGGGTACAATCCACTTTCAGCAGTCAGCTTCTGAGAGTATTGAAGCGATGAAACCTCCCGAATAAACTGAATCGTCGTCCGCTGCTCAATTCCGAATTCGTTTTTCGCATGTCCAAACGGTATGCGACAAGTCCGGTTAGGTGCGCAGTAGGCCCGTACACGGCCGTATTTCAGCGCTCAGCGCCAGGGGGCAGTGCGGCAGGCCTCCGCCGGAGGGCGCTTGAGCACCACAAAGGTGCTTTGCCGAAAATAGAATTTCCATTGATTTCCCATTGAATCTCCATTGGAGAGACAGGAATCACGGTCTCTGTGGATGAATATTATGGGTTCAGGGTTCTTCCTCCCCTCTCACAGAGAGTGGGAATCCTGTGGTGGAATTTTGAATTTTTTCATGGTTGAGCTGAGATATCGAAATTCCGAAGAGGAACTCTGATTCGTCAATTTTTCAAAATTTTAGAAGACGTTGGAGGCCGTTTGAAGGGAATCATTCCCCAGAAGAGGTCGTCGGCCTACCGGTTGTTGTTTGTGACGATTTTGTGTTGGACTCAGTCAGAGAAATTTTCCGCGGTAAATGCAGCTACGGTCCGGCCGGAGAGTTGGTCGTCCAGCAAGCATGTTCAGTGCAGGGAATGCGTTTTTCGATTGGAACGTAGAGTCGGATTAACTCATTCACTTTTCCTTTGAGTCGATGTTCCGACTGATGGAGACGGGCTGTGGTTAACCTTTCATCTCGTAGCTTCTTTTTCAAGTCGAAAATTTTCTTTCGGGAGGCCTCCATTTCGCGCAGCGCCCCTCCACGGTGCAGTTCCAGAGTGTCGGCCAGGTCTTCACTGATGAAGGCCGCCGCGATCACGAATTGTTCTTTGATCGCATTGAACACCCTCGCAGCTTGTTGACCTCGGGCCGAAGTGGGTGTTATTCCTAATTTGTCGAAGGTGCGGCGATCAGCGCTCGAGATGATCGAGTCAACTGGTCCAAGGTTGAGGAATTCCTTTTCCCCAGTTCTGATAACCTCGATCTTTGATGAGATCGGTGGCGACGGTGAGGCCGGCGAGTTAGTTTCGGTGTTTGTGATCACCGTCCTTTTGATGTCGGTCCCTCCATCTGTTTCTGTTGATGGTTCATTCGAATTATAGGGTTCTGGTGAGCCTGTTATAAGCCATTCGTCGCTTGGTGGACGAGGCGAAGTTGTCACGAAGAGTGGTGGTTTGTCGTATTTGCCCTCAGTAGGGCTGGCGCTTCGGGATAGGACTTCGAAGTCCATGGTATCCCCCCAGTCCTCTTGCTCCTTTTCAATTATGTATTTAATTTTCACATCTGGTATATTATGTGCGGGATCTTCATCTAGAAGAGCGTAT